CGCTTTTTAAATCACTGATATATATATATATATATATATATATATATATATATATGTTTTGCAAGAAACATTATAAAACAATTTTTGAAATAAAATATCCGGTGTTACATTATATATCAAATGTGATAGTTATGACCAGGAATATTTAAAGTTATTTATGTTGTTTTTATACTAAAAGTAGAAGCTCTCTTCTTTTTAAACTATCTCATTAGAATAGGTCAAATGAGGAAATTGCTATTTGTTATTTGTTATGCTTGTACACTTATTGAGTAATGTTTGTTCCTTTTGCCACCTAGTTGGAGATAATCCATTACAATCTTGATGCTTCCTTATTCTTAAGATTCAAAAGTTTATTATATAAACAATTTTTTTAGTGTGGGTTGGTATTCACAAGTTATTCATGAAATTACTTTATTCATGAAATTACTGCTTAGCTTTCATAATAAAGAATGATTTATTTAGCACTTGCCACTATACATGCATCAATTATGTCTGTTAGGTAAAATAATTTACTCTTTAAATGAATATTTTAAAATAAATTGGTATAAGTTGTCAATTGATTTCAACTGCGAGCAAACAACTATGTGCTAAGCATGCAAGATTTCCAGAAAACAACTAGGTGCCTGGATAACAAAAAAGTCAAATTCATGCATCAAAATGCCAAGAGAATTATCAGGGAAGAAAACAGTATTCGAAAAACAAAGAAGCAACAAGATCACTGACCATATTGGACATCCAATTTCTCATAATACTTGTTTCCAAATTTATCAACTCCAACCACTGTTGCACCAATGTTGTGAATCTTGGTTTGCCTAAAAAATCAGACTATTACTTTCAGAAAAAGAAAGCATCAAATGTGCAGAAAACATGCCCTGAAATAACTTGCAGAGAAAGAAGCAAAAGTTTAATATGTTCCCTTGATTGTAACATGTAATACATTTAAGACATAGGACTTGGTTGGCTCCTAAATCCAAGGTAAACCAATATGTATCACAGAAAGAAAAGAAAAGCATATATGGCACACCAAGGCACTTACAGCAGATTCCCATCCAAAAGGCAGTTCCTGTAACAGACAAGAAATTCTATGCATCAGAGACTTAGTTATCCAAAAAATTTCAAAAAAAAAAAAAGCAAAAATCATCCCCCCCAAACCCCCCCATCCCCCCTCTTTCTTTCGAAAAGTTCTATTCCACAGACTACATTCAGATAGTTTATGATGGTGGTAATTCCTGAAATATGACATTATTGACCACAAAATGCATAAAGAAACAAGAAATATATGGCATTATGTTGTTTGATTACAATGACAATTTCAATGGATATCTATGTTGAGCGGCAATTATTTCTAAACATCACAAGAAAGTTAGACATTTACATAAGCAGATGTGAAATAAAAAACAAAGGAGATGCAAAAGTTAACCCTCCATGACTACGGCCAGATAGTTTATCATGGGAATTCCTGAGTTACGACACTATGATGACCACGAAACACATATTACTAGCAATTTCAAGGAATAGCTATATCGAGTCATATTTCTTCCATACATGATCAGAAAAAGGGAATTGCCAGAACATCTACAAGAATTTCTTTCTATCTAATTGCCACCTCAGCTTGATATCACTGTATGATAAAAGCATGTTAATTTTGATAGCAACTTGAGTATCAAGTATGCATAGCAAGAAAAAAAAATTCCAAAAAAGCATGAAGACATAAGGTTATTGCTTCAGAGTGAACCTTTAGGAAAGAAACCTAGCAATATATGCATGATAGTCCATCCATCCATGGAGGAAGATGCATAATCTTGTTCGATGCTGCTGAATGTTTGCAAACAAAAGCTCTAAACAATTTGGGTCAACTAGAGAAATCGGTCGAGTTTCCATTAGAGGTAGGCGTAGGTTATCCAGGATTGTGCTGATGGAGAAAATGAAATCAGTAAATAATTTCAGCATCAACCTAGAAAATCAAGGGAGCCAATTTGCAGCAGTGCAATAGGAAGACTCTTGCTAACCTAAGCATACACACAAGACCACTTGCATCTTCTTTTCTGCAAATTGGGCGTATTATACGATGAAAAGAGAGTGCCTAATTGAAAACTAAGATTTATCGCATGAACAGAGATACGCCTCGATTTAAAGACGATACAGATGCAACAATGGATCTGATCAAAGTATGAGCATCCAAGACGATAACGTAGGAGCATCCAAGAATGGCCCTTTTAGGGTTCCTACCCGAGAAATCACCCTTGCTAGGTCGCAGAAGAGAGAAGAAACAAGGTGATGGATTCGAAAGAGAACAAGACTGACGTGTAACCCTCGTCGCGGAGATGTATGAAGAAACCGCCGATGCCCTTCTCTTTGATCGTGCGGAGGACGCCCCTCACCACCGACGCCATGTGCGTGTCTACTTCCGCCCTTACCCCCAACCAACCCCACGACTTTTTCCTTCTGCGATGCTGCGCTTCCTTTCTGCCACGGCAGACGGTGAGAGGAGAGGATAGCCGTACTCCTGGACACGGCGAATGGGATTGCCGGCCCAGTCCCATGAACGCGCTCGTCACGAAAATTAAAGCCCGCGGGCCTCGTAACGGATGTGCGCTATGGGCTTTTCGGTCCGTCAAATGTTTTGGATAAGGCTGAGTGGGTCTGTAATTTATGATTCATACATACAAATAGTTCCCCGAGGGTAACAAAAGAATACCTTTAACAGGCGGCTGTCACTTAGGAATGATATCATCACTAGAATTCAACTTGTTGAGACTAATATGCTGCTGGTTCTATAGCAGGAACAAGAATGGTGTGAAGAAAAAGATATTCGAGAGCCGCAAAGATTTCTTCAGAGTCGCGACAGACAAACGTACTCTCGGAACCTGATAAAGTGTGTGATTGGAATATGTTTCGAGGAATTCATGCATGTGATGCCAACTCGATAGGAAAATGACATGGCAACGCCAGCAGCGTTGTGTGTTGTCGATGGTGATGATGTCAGGTGTCACTTGCTACAGGGTGGCCTCCTGCCGCTCTGCAAATTGGCATCCATGTGTGGCGAGGCTTTGCCCGACAAGAAAGTGTCAGCCCATGGCCATGTTCTTCCTCCCTCCCCACCGCCTCTCGGCTGCATGCATTGCTGCTCGTCCGAAGCCATCATTCCATCTGGGAAAGTTTTTTTCTTTTGGTGTTTAGTGGGGGAGGGACGGCACTATGTTCTGCTGCGGGAGGGAGGAAAGAAAAAGGAGGGAGAGAGGGGAGTCAGAGAGGTGTCAGCTGCCTTCTTTTGCTTTCGTCCCCTGATACATCTTATCATATCGTCATCCGTATGGTCATGATCATGCGACAGTAGTGCGTGACGATCGTCGTCGAACAATGCTCTTCTTTGCGTTCTTCATCCTCTCTTCCATGATGAACTCCGACCACCGGGCATCGGACAAACCGGCTGAACTTGCGAATCACCACATTCGCTCCTTCACTAAAACCTCATCTACGACAACAATCATCAAGCGCCTCCTTCGCTAAAACGTCATTGCTCATCGATGAGATCGATGGGTGTAGAAGTTTAGTTCGTCGACTTATCCAAACTCCTCGCTCGATTATCTCGTGGGACAATCAGTAAGTTTAAATTAACCCTTTGCCCAGCGACACTACGGAAACTGAGGATGCCATGGTTTGCTCTGCTTATCATCACGCACTCTGGCATTAGATGCATTGCGATCCAATGGGAAGGAGGATGATTCTGAGCCTTCTCGTGCCTGTCTTCTGCATTAAGGCGGGATGTGCACTCAATGATCGCATAGGCATATGGGCCCTGGCACAGCACTGCAGCAGGTCATTTGTATAAGAGTAAATGGAAGAATGCTTCTGATTCCAATTCTTGGAGAGCAGCAGCCCGTGAGAGGAGGGAGAAAGAGATAGAGGTGTTGTGTTCCCTAGTGGGAATTTTCGTTCATGCACCAACGTGGTGGTGTGTTCTCGTAACTAACGAATCAATCTACAGGCATCGATCTAAGAGCTGTATTTTTTGGGACTCTGGAATCAGTCAGGACTGTGATCCTCGACTCGGCACGCTACTCCAGCATTTGAGAAACTATTACTTTTCGTACGTGGAGAAATATGGCACATCATGCGAGTCATCTGATGAGGCTTTAATTACAATCGGAGAAGCTTATGCATCATCAACACGTACACCAACATTAACATCGGTGGAATCATATCATATTGCCGGGTTTCTTAACTAGTAATTCTCTCTGTATCACGCAGCTGTAAATTACGCCCTCTACAGCTACCAAGGAGGAAAAGAAGTAGGTGGATCATGTTCGGAGGTTGGTGAAATGATGCATCTCTCTCTCGCTCTCTCTCTCTCTCTTCTTTGCCCTCTAGAGATCTGGCAAAGAGATGGAATCATTCGAGCAGAAAGGATATGAACTTGGGAGAATGTGAGCAGCCACCGTGAGTGATAAATGAGAAACGGGAGACAAGATGTGTTTCGAATGGTGTCCAATTCCCGGATAACAGTGGAGGCGGAGAGAGAAAGAGAGAGCAGTACCTCATTTTCATGCCCATCAAACAAAAATATTAACCTCACAAATAGAACTAACCTTCAACACGGCTTTAACAAGCATAGAAAGGACAAAGACACTTGACCTGAAGTTGCATCAGAAGCAGTCCTTGAGAAAGCTCAGCTCCCTCCACTTCGTCGGTCCTTATTTTGCCCCTCACCGCTCTTACGCTGGGAAGCCTTTGGTGTTTGTCCATCGCGACCTTTAGACATGTCCGAAACCTCCTTTTCGATCTTTGGTGGTGGTCTAAAGTATCTAGGCAGATGAAAAGCATGCTTCGGACACACCACACGCAACAAAATCACTTGGTGCTTGCTACACGTCTTTCGTATTTCTTCTTGTGCAAAATGATATTCGAATAATTTTACTCAGTTCTGTGGTAGTAGTAATGGGAGGAGGAGGAAGAAGAAGAAGAGGGAGGGAGGGAGAGACTCAATTCAAATTGCCGAGTCTTTGTCTTGTATTTACAAAGTACAGACGTGTATAGCATTCATGGAATGCTGCAGGACACGAGGTTTCTACTCGCACAGCCTGTTCATAATGATTTGTCCTGAAACACTGTATCCGAGTCTTGTCACTTTATGCACTCGAGATTCTCTGCCTAATTAATTACGTAAAATAGGAGCCAATATTCACGAGAACAGCACCAGCAATTCGGACTCGATCTCCATAGAAACTCACTCGTAATGCCTCTATCTACCGTGTAGGCAAAATCGATGCTCTTGAATCTTCTGTCAGTCTTGATTAGGCATCAGCTCAAGTAGAAACATGTTGAGCTGAAAAGAGGAGAGCCGACCACACGGGGCAAATTCTGCCTGCAAGCACTAGCAGGGATGCGAGGAGGAATGGGTTGCATCCCCCACCTCTCCTGTTGATGTCGAATTTACATCAAGAGAAAGGAACCAATTCAAAGCCGAGAAATGCGGCTGTTTGCCTCCCCTTCTCTCTCATCCTATTACACACTGAACACACCACTTTTTGGAGGTGTCCCTCCGGAGAGTGCCAACGAAGGAAAAGTGAGGTTTTTCTTGAAGGAGTTTTAGTCGGGAAAACGAAGGAGAAGTGAGATTTTCTTAAAGGAAATCTGTATCTTCGTCACATAATTTTTTTTTCTTAAAAAAATAAATATTTTTTTATGAAGATATTTTTTTATAAGTTTATATAGTAATTATAAACTTATTTGACTTACATTTTATCTTTATTCTAGTGTTACCTATTTCCTTTTTTATTTTAGTGTTGTTAGCTATGAGTAGTACTCAAAATATTATAAATCTTGAGTTTATAACTTTGTCAATTATATGAAGGATATAATCTGAAATTCATCAAATACTATCATTTTTAGTCAGTTCTTTTATTAAGATATCAACTAATGACTTATCAGAAAATTTAAATTGATCCTTAGATATTCTCATGCGCTAGTTGTAAATTATACTGAAGTCTAAATATCATAAAATTAAGTATTTTATATATTTCCCGATCAATCACCTCAATTATTTATTCTACAGAACTTTCAATAATTAAGTCTATTTTCCATTCAATTAATCTAATCAAGGTCTCACTCACTCAATACAACTTGTATATGCTCAAGCTATTTATTCCACAAAATATAAGGATATTTATAAAAATATAATGAAGAAAGTATCACTATAATAATATAACATTAATGCTTTGAGTTTTCAAAATATATTGAACTATTGATATCATCTATATTTCACCCAAAGATGATATATTGATATATCCAGTATTCACTCAAGATCGATACCATCCTTGTGGAATAGTAGTGTTACTTTTAGGTACACAATACTAAACTGTAAGGATATCCAAAACAATATCATCATATCCCATTATATAATTATTTGAAATATATTTTCTTTTGGGATTATCTAAATCACTTAATTATATGTATCATTATGAATATTATTTTATTTAATATCAATGAGGATCAATTTCATAGTGTATTTTATAGATTATTGGTCCAGGTCACTTTAGTAGCTGCAAGATTAATACAAAAATATAAAATACAGTCTAAAATATCCCATAAATGATAAGAATTTTATTGTAATTCATATCTCATAAGCCTACCATCACAAGCTATTTAGAAAGATAAATTATAAATACTATTCATCAAAATTTTTTTATTCTGATTTATGCTGTTATTATGAATATTATTTTATTTAATGTAGACTAATTTCATAATATATTTTATAAATTATTGGTCCAGGTTACTTTGGTGGTTATAAGACCAATATAAAAATATAAAATATAATCTAAAATGTCCTATAAATGATAATACATTTATTATAATTTACATCTCATGAGTCTACCATCCCAGACTACTTTGACAGTTGTCGATCAGATAAAACTTATGAAGATAAATTACAAATAATATTCATAAATTTTTTTATCTTAATTCATGCTAAAGAAGTTCAATAATAGAATAACAATCATAATAATTATTGAATATTGATCAACATAAAGAAAACTCATATAATAAATATAATCATAATAACACATAAATCATGAAGAGCCTTATGTGAAAGATAACTATTATTTCATAATTTTAAATATATACATATGAATAACCAAATAAATATCTAAGAACAATAATTGGATTTTATTTACAACATGCAATCAATATTTTATATGAGAAAACTATAAAAGAACCATTATGACAATCAATTTTATCTAATTGGATAAACCCAAAATTAAACTAAACATCAACCCAATTAAGTCAATCAATAAGAATTGATCCGAAGATAAAACTGTAATTTTGTTGACAAGACATAGATCGAAATTACGAGATTCATGAAAGGTAGAACTATGAAAAGCACATGTCAATAAAATTTCAATTATGAAGAGCATTTATGGAAAGTAAATAAAAGAACATGCTCCGAATTCTTTCATTTCTGAAAGGCAAAAATATCCTTCCAAGAAAAAGCCCAAATCTTCCCTACGCTATCGTCGCCTACGCACGACGATTGATCAACATAAAGAAAACTAGAATCATGATAACAAATAAATCAATAATAGAATAACAGCCATAATAATTATTGAATATTGATCAACATAAAAAAAAACTCATATAATAACTATAATCATGATAACACATAAATCATGAAGAGCCTTATGTGAAAGATAACTATTATTTCATAATTTCAAATATATGCATATGAATAACCAAATAAATATCCAAAAACAATAATTGGATTTTATTTACAACATGCAATCAATAATTTATATGAGAAAACTATAAAAGAACCATTATGACAATCAATCTTATTTAATTAGATAAGCCCAGAATTAAACTAAACATCAACCCAATTAAGTCAATCAATAAGAATTGATCCAAAGATAAAACTATAATTTTGTTGACAAGACATAGATCGGAATTATGAGATTCATGAAGGATAGAACTATCAAAAGACATGTGAGGAAAATTTCAATTATGAAGAACATTTATGGAAAGTAAATAAAAGGACAGGCTATGGAATTCTTTCATTTTTGAAGGGCAAAAATATCCTTTTCCAAGAAAAAGCCCTAATCTTCCCTACATCATCGTCGCCTGCGCACGACTACAGCTGGCGTTGCTGCCACGGCGTGGCCTGTGCCTGCTTGCGTCTACCACCTAGGTGTGGCCTATGCCCTCACGGGGCTATCGCTGCTGCCCTTTGCCCACGGGGGCAACCGTTGCATAGTGCGGTTGCCACCATTTTCAACCACTGTCCTTTCGTAAGCGGGCGCCACCATTACGTGTGATGGCGGCGGCCGACTTCACACAGGGTGTAGCCGTCACCTTCTATGGCCACCACGTTCACATGCGGTGCGGTCGTTGCTTGCGTGGCCGTCAACTGAATGTGGGTGCCATGATACGTAGCCACCGTGGCACGTGACTGGCCACCTAGCGGCTGCTAATGGTCGTTGTTGCTGTTGCGATACGCGCTGCGTGGTGCAGTAGCCTCTCGCAAGTAGATCAACATAGCGATTGTTGTCGGCATGCAACTACGGGCTGCAATCTCTGTACACAGCCATTCAACGGCTGTCAACAACTAAACAGGCGATCAACAGATATCATTGATAGTAAATAATAAATCCATCGATCAAACATAAGAAATCGTACATAGCTCATAATTAGCAATAGAGCAAATCATATAGAAAAAACATATCAATAATATCCGATGAATCATTCATGCATCATAAACAAAAACCGATTAATATTGTTTCGCAAGCGAAAGATGCTAACAAATAGATCCAAAAGTATTTGATTTCAAAAATCATTGTTCTGATACCAATTGTTAGCATAAAATATGTAATCATGCTATCTGTAATATGAAGAAACTTTTATGTCAGAATTTGAAATTAAATAATAATGGATCTAAACAATATTATGATGCATATCGTTCGTTGTTGTTCAGAAGAATAAATTTTATCTGATTTACATGTGCACTATCATCGTATCTAACATATCAATCTGCAAGAAAAACTAGACTCTCATTCTCTTTTCTTCCTATCCTTTCGTAGAATCACTTAAATTGATGGATTAGGAAAATAGAGAGAAAAACTATAATCTCTCAATTGTGTGGAAATATGTATATATAGCCCATAGAAGTTTTGTCTATTTTATAAGCGAGAGCAGAGGGTCTAGGATAAGTTTTTAGGAGAGTTCCTTCAATCAACAGCATCCTCTTAATAATCCTATTATAATATAATTTTTTTTTATTGGCTAGTTAATCATATCTATAATATATATTATCTAATTAAATAGAACTACGTAATAATCTAACAGGGAAAACAAAAAAAAAGAAATTTGACGGAGACTACGAGGCACGATCTCCACTTCAGAGACGAAATCCGGCACCCAATTTGGATGGACGGATGGATGGATCGGACACCTACAACTCAAACGACAGAATATGATCGCCGCTTGCTTCCGGTCCCTCTCTCTCTCTCTCTCTCACACACACACACACACACACACAGAGACGTGCACAGACACACGTGTTTCTCTTCTCTGTCCGTCCTCAGTTGCGTATGGACAAGTCTATTCCATTAAAAAGTCAGCGTCTTCCATGAATAAAAATATACTACCCTCTCTCACTCTCCTCGACGCACACACGCACACATCCATTTGTCCCCTTGCGCACACTATTTTTCTTGGGGTTGAAGAAGAGTTCTCTCGTCTCACTCCTCCCTCGCCGCACAATTTTCTTCCCATCCCCTCCCTCCGCCCTTCCCAGAGCAGCAGGAAAGATTTCAGCAATAGGCTACACCTTCGCTGCAACACTCTTTGCCAAAAAAACATCAAAGATCTGAATACATGTTTGACTATTTCTGGCAAAGAATGGAGAGTGATCAGGGAGATCTTGCCGACATAGTCCGCTCCGGCGGGTTTGCTGGAGCTTCGGGTGCTGCTGAGTTCCCGGTCAGCGACCAGAAACTTCCATCGGAGGCCACGGTCTTGCCCTCGCCCGGGGACAGGATCAACAACTTGGGAGATCCCTTTGGGTGTCATCGTGATCCTCTCCTCCACAGCGGCGGAGGGCAGATCGAGGTGGCAATAGAGAGTAGCGATGGTGGTGGAGGTGGGATGATCGTATCCCGCAAGTTGCGGATGAGCGAGGAGATTATAAAGGCATGTGATATCAACCACAGGGCGTTCCGGGTGTCGTCAGGAGGAGCCAAGGGTTCCCCTCTCCCTCCAAATGCCATCGTGCCAACCGCGGTACTCATCGGGGAGATGACGAAGGCGAGTGATGGTGCAGCGGTAGGATGCTCCGTGGACGATGGTGGTGTGCGGATCTCATCCACTAGAACGCTCGGCATCAAACGGAGGTTCGACAGCCCATGTATACATTATATAGATAGATATAGATCACTATTTTTGAGAATCTTTACTCATCGATTAGCTGCTGCTTATTCCTCGAGAAATATGTTGCTGTTTTCCAACAAGTAATAGGACTTGCTTCTTTATCAGGAAGAACCAAGTGAAAAAGGTGGTATGCATTCCAGCCCCTACAGCGGCAAGCAATAGACACAACGGAGAGGTTGTTCCTTACGATCTATGGGCTTGGAGGAAGTATGGCCAGAAGCCAATCAAGGGCTCTCCTTATCCTAGGTATTTCTTTTTTTCTCATCCTAACATGAAACCCTAAATCATGAGTGTGTGTTTGCTTTCAGTCTATCTAATCTGCTTGCTTTCTGCGTCTTTCCTTACGACGCATTGAAGCATTAACACGGAATGTTTATGATTAGACACGTGATATGACCATCTTTATAACCGATTGCACGCTCGGTGTAATTAATAATAGTGTTGTGAGCGAAAACTTAGTAGCTGACCGAAGCTGTTGGTTTACCTCAGGGGTTACTACAGGTGCAGTAGCTCCAAAGGATGCACCGCACGGAAACAAGTGGAGCGCAGCCCTATCAATCCTAACATGTTAGTCATCACCTACACCTCGGAGCACAACCACCCATGGCCGACCCAACGCAACGCTCTGGCTGGATCCACAAGATCCCAAGCGTCTAAGAACGCCGCTTCAGCTTCCAAGACCTCCGGCCACGATCTAAAGGAAGACGAGCCCAAGGAAACGGCCACCGGGTCGGATGCTCTTTTCGTAAAGGGAGAGGTCGCAGAGAAGGGCGTTCATCATCCGGCTGAGGGTGACGAATACGATGGAGCAGTCGAGCAGAGTTGCAAGCCCGCCGTGATCCCTGCATCGAGCCACCCCGATGACTTCTTTGCAGATCTGGCAGAGCTGGTAACCGACCCGATGAGTCTCATCTTCTCGAACGAAACGAAACCGGCGGCGGGTGGAGTCGTGGCCTTGGATCCGTCACACATGTTTGATTCGGCAGGAAGGTGGAATGGACGAGGTTCCGATTAAGGTTAGGTTAGCGTTAAATTATGAGTAGGCAAAACAGATGGGACAAAGCTAAGCTCGTAATCATCTTGACGAGCCTTCCATGGCGTGCAGGTTGCACGGTTTGAATCTGAATCCTGGGAGCGGAGTGGTATAGGTGTTTTTCTTACGTTTTATTTGACACGAGGGGTCTGTGGATCAAAAGGGGGGGGGGGAAGAGAGAGCATCGGAATGATGGGAGGATAGGACAGAAGGCTGCGGAACACAAGCTTTCGAACTGTTAGTTAGAGCAGGTACATCGTCTGAGCCGTGTCTGCAAAAAGCCTTTACCTTCTTCTTCTTCTTCCACAGTCTCTTCCTCCACGGTTTGCTCAGAATTTTAGTAGTAATTGAGTAATCAAGATGTGCAAGAGGAGTCAAACGTTTATTTTGCGATGCCATGTGTTTTTGTGACTCGGAGAATGGTGAGGAGGAGTCAGGAGAAGGAAGAAGGCTACGGCTTTGTGTGTATCCCATTTTTAACTCCTCGATGCTCAAGCCAAACGCTTTGGTAGTCCTGAGACCATGAATCAACCCTCCATTCTCTCTCTCTCTCTCTCTCTCTCTCTCACAGCTGTCTTCTTCCATGAATCAACTGATGCGATATGTAGCGTAGCGGCACACAAAAAATTTCAACCACCTGTGTCGTACGATGAACATCTCCTCCGTTGGTGAATATTAGATGACAGTGGTTGTCGTTTCCACAATTACAAGCAGAAAGAGCAACGATGGATGGATGGATGGATTTCGATTGGATGTGGGTGGGGGGTTTCGATCGAGCCAAGAAGAGAAGAGCAATATTAATGACAACATCATACGGATAAAAGGATTCATGATCACGTTATACAAGGCAATATTAATTCCCCCTTCCTCCTACATTAATTAAATGTTGGCTCGTTCCACGTAGATGAGCTAATAGGTATGCCATAGCCGGTATTTATTATATGTTCACAAGGCCGCTGCAGCGAATGAATAATGTAGCCCACATGTCAACCCCAATAATTTATTTGGTTGATGACAACACCATATGCATCTGATTCATGTCAATTTCACAGCAAATATCGATACAACATGTTGCTCGAGCGCAGCAGATCTAACTTACAAAAAATAAAAACCAAACTCCATCCCGCAGCTGCATCATCTAATTAATACCCATATCCTGGAACCAAAACATATGCAAAATAGTGCTTTATTTAATAAAGGAATCGCTCGCCATGCACTTCCTTTGCCGCATTAGATGTTTATAATACTTGAATATCTTTGAGCAAAAGGTCATGCAAAATTGATCAAGAAATCATCTGCATATCATATCAACCTTTTTGTTCATCGTTTTCAAGAGTCTCCTTGATGGCATCAACCTTTGCTGCCAGTCTCAAAAGGGTGCAGCCACCACCAACAACGATACCTTCCTCAACAGCAGCTGAAGAATATCACAAAAGGTCAAAAATATTTCTCTTTCATTTCAGTCAGTCATGCCCCAATTTATGATGGAGATATAAAATAAAATAACCTTTGTATATGAACAAATACTAGCAGGCCATGATATGTAACGGAATTAAATGAAATCACAATAAAATAGAACACCAAGATATACGTGAAAAACCCTTTCAATGTGAAGAGTAAAAACCACGGGACAAACTAGAGATAATTCACTATGAGAATAATGAATATACAAATCTCAATCTCTTGCCCTAAACCCTAGCAACAATCATAAGAGAACAACTGGGATACAAGGATCACGTCACTGTCCACGATATCTAAAACATCCACAAGTAATCACAGTAAGAGTCTACTGTAGATTTGATCTAACCTGAGATAAGAACACTATTAGATGATTGAGAACACTCTCTCTACGTTGTCTTTATTTTCTTCCCTTTCTTTCTCTTCCTTTTCTGCCTTGTTTTCCTCCTTTTCTTTGGAATCCCGTGGCTATTCCCTTCTCCCACATTGCTGCCCTATTTATGTCTTTTTCTGCCTCTAAAACGTAACCACCACACCCCCCTAATGTTAATTAGGGTTAGTTTAAGAGGGGGTGAGCTGTGGGCTACCTAAGCCCATTATGGGCTGAATTTGTGGGCTGCTAACCCAACAACCTCCCCCTTCAGCCCATAAGGGAGGTTGTCCCATGACTCCTCAATGTGAAGCCATGCCGATCAACCGTCGGCATATCTCATATCTTTCTTTTAGTAAAGTTTTTGTTAATATGTCTACTCCGTTGTCATCTGTGTGAATTTTCTGAAGCTGCAACTGCTTCTCTTCAAATACATTTCGAATCCAGTGGTATCTGACATCTATATGCTTTGACTTGGAATGAAACATTTGGTTCTCACACAAATGGATGACACTTTGACTGTCACAATGCACCACATAATTTTTCTGTTTCAGCCCCAATTCTTGTAAGAATTCTTTCATCCATAACATTTCTTTGCATACCTCTGTAGTAGCAATATATTCTGCTTCTATGATGGAGAGAGCAATACACCTTTGCAACCTGGATTGCCATGACACAGCTCTCCCCCTGCAAAAGTAAGTACATAACCTGAAGTAGACTTTCTCGTATCTATATCTCTTGCTATATCTGCATCTGTGTAACCTGTCAACACATGTGGTCCACCTCCAAAACTTACACAAACCTTAGAGCTCCCTCTGAGATATCTAAAAATCCACTTCACTGCTACCGAGTGCTCTTTGTCTGGATTTGCAAGAAATCTGCTCGTAACACCAACTGCATATACGATGTCTGGCCTCATA